TGTTATGTTCATCGGGATGTCTGGTGCTGGTGAAAAAAAACTTAACATTAACGATTGTACCAATCTAAAATTTCTTGATTCATTTTTAGTCCAGTATAGAATAAAAATTTTAATGTTCACCTGGGAGGTCTCGTACGGGCGAACGTAATTTAGTATGATTTTTAAACTGATGGATCTCAACTAATCAGAGAGCTAGGAATTATTAAATCATATAATAAATTTGATTGTTTGATTGATTGTATGTTGCTTTACGTCCCATTCGAGAATTTTTCACCCATATAGAGACATCACCATATACCGGTGAAGGGCTTCAAATTTGGACCTTTACTCGGCACTCAGGGCCATTGAGCAGTGAGGGATCTTTATTGTGCCAACGCCTGCCGTGACACGGGGCCTCGGTTTTTAAGGTCTCATCCGAAGGACCCACAACTTTCACTTCAAAGTGCCGAGCGCGTTGCTACTCATTTTTTATCGACTTAGGTCAGTCGCAGCCGAGATTCGAACTCACGACCTCCCGATCACGGAGCGAGCGCTCTACCGACTGAGCTACCGTGAACGGTCTATAATAATTTGAATGTAATATCTATGAACATACTTAAGAATTACCAAAAACTGTATAATATGCGTAAAACAGAATATTCATGACTATAGAATCCATAAAACCACTCCAGCTCTGATTCTGCGTCCCTGCATTTTGTTATTCATAGCCAAAAAAAAAAAGTGAATCATTCACAAATATTTAATGTCGTGAACAGACAGACATGTATTGTTGGATTTTAATTCGAGCGACTGCAAAATCCCTTGTTTTAAGAGTGAATATTTTCAAATTTCAAACATGAAACCGATAATCCAAACATACTGTTTATGTGGTCATACTCGGATCGAACTATGTGTCTATTGTTTTGAAATTTACAAAATCGGAAAGAGGAAAATATATTTCTGTTCAATTTTCCCTCGATTCTTTTGATACGGCCATAAACTATGCTAGCGGAGTAGTGTGTGTGGAGTTGCCTTGTGAGTTCTTAGAGATTTCCAACCATGAAATTTTGTTGTCAAGAGAAGTGGTGGAACATTTGAATCTAGATCAACGTCAAGAAAGTCAAAAATGGCTTAAGCCTACTGGTAAGAAAGGTGGTACGTGATATAGTAGGAATCACGAGGTGCTCTAAGATCGCACAATTATACAAGTTTTCTTACCAAAAATGCACACGATGTGATTCCAGATGATAAAGTTTGAGAATTTTCTGGCTGATGGAAGGAAAAGTGACTTGTCTTATCAAAAAGATAAACTAATATGGTCCCAAAAAGAGAAGACTACTGGTCTTACCAGAAATTTTTTTTCTTTTTGCATAAGATTTTGGAAAAAAAAAATCGTCCTTTTACATTTGAACAAAAATGTGTTGTTCATTAAGCTGTTGCAAAGGCCAAAATTCCTGAGGCATATAAAGCTGTAATAGAGGATGATGGGGGGATAATACTAAACTCCTACAAGTGCCTTCTTCAATAGCTAGTACAAAGGGTTTAATGAAGTCTGGAAAGAAATTAGTTATATTGGATGGTGTGCTGAGGGATGTTGAAGTCGGAGTGCGAGTTGAAAATGACAGCGATTCAGCAGCTTTGATTTAAGGTGGACAGAGATTGGTTCAGAGTTTAAGAACACAGTCAAATATGATGAAAACATTTGGAGACTCTTTAGTCGAGTTTGTTTCAACTATTTCCAGAAAAAACTTTTCTAGTATTAATATTTTGTATAACCATTAAAGAGACTAGCCCTAACAAAAAATACTATAGTAAAAGTTTCAAAGTTTTTACTATAGTAAATCAAAGTTCCAAAGTTTTTACTATGGTAAATCAAAGTTCCAAAGTTTTTAATATAGTTAATCAAAGTTGCAAAGTTTTTACTATATCATATCAAAGTTTTCACAATAGTTTATCACCTTATTAAAGTATTTTTTATAATTTTCTGTTTATTTTGTTGTTTTTAGGGGGTTTGGTGGGGGCTGGTGGTTGTTGTACATGTTAATTCAAATCTATATCTTAGTTTATTGGAATGCAGTATTTACATTTATAAATTAAAAAAGTACATGTTTACCGAAGTTGATGGAGCACGTATTTTGGTTATAACTGACACATTTTATTTTATAGTATATTATTTTTCTTTCCCTATAAAAAGCTTACACTACATCTGCATTAAATTAAATACATTTAAATAAATATTGCTCATCTATCGGCGCGAGAGACAACTTTGCATTAAAATTCATATCTTGTACATTATTTTCTTAAGGGAGGGGTCGGGTTTATAAAAAGTTCTCTGAAGCTTTTAGGAATTTTGAACACGAAATATCATAAAATGTCAAGAATGGGAATCAAAAACATAATTCTACGGGTTTTGCTATAGTAAATCAAAGGATTAAAGTTTTTACTATAGTAAATCAGAGTTCCAAAGTTTCTACTATAGTAAATAAAAGTTTCAAAGTTTTTACTTTGATACTATAGTGAACAATAGTAAACTATAGTTAACTATAGTTAACTATAGTATTTTTTTGTTAGTGTAATTAATATAATCAGCAACACTGAGAACAACCAGTTGGAAGAGTTGTAGAAAATAGTGACATTCCTCTTCTTACTAACTTTGCTACCTTATGAAAAAAAAAAAAAAAAAAAAAGAAAAAAGAAAAAAAAAAACATTCTACCCAGTTATCTGAGGAAATACTTTTCCAATCGCCCATTTGGAACACATTGTTATCTCTCGCGGTGTGTGTGGGAGAGAGGGGTAGGGGTAGGTGAGAGGGGGTTGAAGATGGAGTGATATGCGATGATGATATTGGTTAAATTATTCTGCGCTAAAGGGGACAAGTGAAGAAGCAGACTCTAGTTCTTCAAGTAGCACACTGTTCTTGAGTATCCGCTTGCACCTCTACCTGTTCTCATACTAGCATATCGTATATCGATGTCTTCTAGCTTCTAGTCTACTATCATTCTTTCCAGAAATAGACACGTGTAGATGTTGATTGGAACCTTTCTAAAGCATGCAATTATTCCTGTTTGTATTGTTTCGGCGATAAATTTCTCTTTTCCAGAGCTTCGGAAACATTTAGTTAATACACTTCATTCATTGACATGATGTGATGCATATCAATGAAATCTTCCCTGAAGGTGTACAGAGACAGCTATGAGGTTATAGAGGGTTGAGGAGAAGGATAATTAACTGATAAAAAAAATTAAAAAATCATTAAAAAAATCGTCTTTAAGTTGTGTTATACAGACACAATGTCCACTTACACTCTTCGAAAATTATTATTTTAGGAATTAAAGAGCCTGAGAATTATGCCTCCAATTCCTTTCATGTGCAAACAATGCGAGCACAATGCCAGGCACTGGTATAGAGATAAGCAAATACTGGTAGGCCTGCATTACCTTGTCCAATGAGATTGGATGGATTTTCATGGTTGTTTGCTGGAAACTTATGACTAGGTCATCACAGATCTTGAGAATTTTCCGAGATTTTATAATTTGCAGCTGCACCATCAGTTGTAGAATAGCGAGGTCTGGATGAAAACAGACAAATCTGCAGTGTATGGTCATTTTCAAATGTAAAATCCTGAACAAAGAAGAATGTAGAAACAAAAGATGGGAAAAAACAGAGAAAATTCAAATTAAATGTGGAAACAGCTAAATTTTACGAACTAAAATGATAATTTAAGTTTTCTATTATCATTTTATAGTTGCATTATGCTCAGTAAGATATTCACGCATTCTTTTTTCTCATTTGAACGACATTAAGGGATAATTAGAAAAATTAAATATCCGCCATTTTGAATCACCATTTTGACCTTTATAACGCCATTTTCATGACAACCAGCATATTTTTTCAGACTCAGCATACTCAAATTAGGTCAAAAAACCATGCTGGACCAAATAATAATTATTTGCCGTTAGAAGTATTTTTTCTGTAAATCGGACCAGACTATATATATAAAATATTTTTCTTTGACACATTCACAAAATGTTATAATTGAAAAAAATCAAAATAAAACTTTTATATGAATAAACTCTGTGAAACTAAAAGAGAACAGGGTTGGCAATTTCATCAGACGATTTTCGACACCTCGATGGGAATTCCTCATAAAAGATAAACGCTACTTACCGACTAGAGGTAAAGGTTTCGACATCGTCATAGATTATAAATTAATTGATACATCGTTAATTTGTGGCCAATTGTAGTAATTCCAGTCCATGGAATTTTCATGTTTAACATCTGTAACTCGTCATTTCAACGAAGATAATTAGTCATTTTTACTTTTTTTCTAGAAGGGTAAACTCCGTCTTTGTTTCTCCAAAATAAGATCCAAAAAAGTTTAAACCAAATTAACGTATTAAGACTAAATTGACGCTTAAAACACTTTCTTTATGTAAAACAGGTAGCAATTGCATGAATGCATTAAAATAATGCTTTCAAAAGTAGAAGAAAAAAAAAGTAAGAAGGGAGGGGCTGGTAAATTGACGAAGTGTGCCGCGGTACGTATTATACACAGATAAAACTTAATTCTATTGTAAACAGAGATTGTTTTCAAGTAGTTATGATATTTCATTCTATTTAACTGTATTTTTCTTTTACAGGGTCAGGCACTACTAGGTGGTACAGAAACTGTCTGTCAATCATGAAAAATATAAAAAGTCTTGATTTATCATTTTTATATGTATCATTGGAGGTTGAAATCCAATTGTACCTGAAAAAATAAAATTCATAGTTAATACATGGCCACAGGAACCGTGAAGGGTGGGGGTGTTCCCCACACTCAATAATTTTACAATCTTCACATCTCTGCATTGTCCGATCGAATTTCGTTTACTATAGTACAGGTACTTACATTTATTGTCTTTCATCCACCTTCTCCATCATTTTTTATAGCAAATGTAAGGTGAACATTAAGCAAACAAAATAATCGAGCACCATTTACATCGTTAAAAAAGCAACACAGAAAAAGGAGTTATCCCTGTCTCTTAATATTCTTTTTTTCTGTGGTCAATGTTTCCAAGGCTAATGTTGGGACAAATAAAATTAATCATCAGAGATAATGAGAGTTATAATAAAAAAAAAGTTCGCTGATTTTATAAGATTTTAAGCTGCATCTATGTAGCAAAATTGAAACTGGAAATTCTTTGCAAACGAGCAGTGTCCTCTTATTTGAACTCCAATGATATATTTTTCATTGGCATGGAAGAATAAATTGATTTTTTTTTCATAAAAAAAGCAGAAGAAAAACATATCTATCAAAAATTTTGACTTGAATTTGTCAGCCAAGCCTTGCGGATGAGTAATAAGTTGCAAAATGACGTCCTGGCACATGAAAAAAAAATCATTAAATAGACGTCAACTTTAGAAATGTTATGTACTTTTATTACCTGTAAATCCATAACGAGGCAAGATACACCTGTAATACTTGAAGTTAGATTCACCATTCGTTGTACTTCATTTTTAAAGAAAAAAGTAATTTTCGAAAATTTTTGACATAAGGGGGGTTTTTGCTTGGAACGGCTCAAATAGTGTTTATTTTTGTTTTCCATATTAATTTAAGGTGTGTAATTATAAAGCTACAGTAAAATTGAATATTAATTACCTTATCATAGATCAGTGCTTTCCAAAAATGGACATTGTTTTCATTCTGGACTCGTCTACTGGCGTGGGTGTTGATGACTACAATAAAATGAGAGCATTCGTAAAAAAGTTCCTTCAGGCCGCAAACATAGACTGTGGAGAGGTAAGAGTTGGTCTAATGTCGTACAGTACGAAAGTTACGGTTGAATTCCACCTCAACACTTATAATACAAAGGCAGAGTTGATTGACGCCATTGACAAGGTTCAATGGAGATTTGGAAGCACTAACACTGCTGATGGACTTAAAACAATGCATGAAGAAATGTTCTCCAAAGCCAATGGTGATAGGCCAGGTGTTCAAAATATATGTGTTTTCATGACTGGTGGCATATCAAATATCGATGATTATAAAACAATTCCTGAAGCAGAGAAAGCTAGAGAAAAAGGCATACATATTTATGTCATTGGTATTTTCCATAAGGTTTTCAGTGAAGTTATTGGTATTGCTAGCCATCCTGCTAGTTTGAATGTTTTTGCAGTTGATTCCTTTGATGAACTAGAAGGTTTAGATACGACGATTTTTGAATCTGATATTTCAGGTATATATTTTTTGTTTTCACTTTTTTATCGGAGTTTCTCTATTTTTAAAGTAACTTAATGAAGAAAAACTATGTTTCAACAATTTCTTAGTTGTATAAGTGAATTTTGCATCAAATATTTTTTTATCTTTCCATTTCTCAGAAAATCCTTTACAAGATTTAAAAATAATAACAAAGCGTTGTTTTTTAGGAAATCTGTATCATGTGTCTTAGGTTCTGGTATCCTACATAGAAAAAGCTGTCAATTTTTCAAAAATATATATTTTTTTAATTTTTTTCTGTTATGCCTAAAAGCATGAAGAAAGTAAAATATTTTTCTACCACTCCTAGTTAAGGAATGTAAAAAACATATATTTTTAACAATGAATATTCATAACAATTTTTAAAAATACTGAGAGAATACAAAGATTATCACTGGAATTTAAAGTTGTTCGGAAAAAAAATTCTAAATTTTCTGCTATGATTTTAACACCATATACTTTGCACAATCATTCCATGGTGTTCCCTCCAGCTAAAACCGTTGAATGTATCAATGCGCCAATGAATGATTAGAAAATACTTGTTAAAAAGTTTATTAAATAGTGTTTTTGTTTACCATATTAATTCACGGTCTGTTAAAGTACAATTTAATTTTCATCAACATCATAGTTCAGTGCTTTCCCAAAATGGATTTGGTTTTCCTTCTGGACTCATCTACTAGCGTGGGTAATGATTACTACAACAAAATGAAAGCATTCGTAAAAAAGTTCCTTCTGGCCGCAAACATAGACTGTGGGGAGATGAGAATCGGTCTCGTGTCTTACAGTCTTACACGGTCTAATGTCGTACAGTACGAAAGTTACGGTTGAATTCCACCTCAACACTTATAATACAAAGGCAGAGTTGATTGACGCCATTGACAAGGTTCCTTGGAGATATGGTAGCACCAACACTGCAGATGGACTTAAAACAATGCATGAAGAAATGTTCTCCAAAGCCAATGGTGATAGACCAGGTGTTCAAAATATATGTATTATCATGACTGATGGTGTATCCAATATCAATTATGAAAGAACAATTCCTGAGGCAAAAAAAGCCAGACAAAAGGGCATACACATTTATGCCATTGGCATTGCACTTAAGGATTTGAGTGAAGTAAATGGTATTGCAAGCCAGCCGGCTTGTTTGAATGCATTTGCAGTTGATTCCTTTGATGACCTAGAAGATTTAGATAAGAAGATCTTTAAATCTTACTGTTCAGGTACCTATATTTTATTTTACTTTTGTATCGGAGTTTCTCTTTTTATAAAAATAACTTGTTGATGTAAAAAAAAAATACAATATTTTCTTAGTTTAGTAGGATAATAATGCTTGAAATACTTCTTTATTTTTCTTAGTCCATAGAAATTATTTTTAATGATTTAAAATACTGAGAAATTATTTTTTCAGTACATCTATATCGTGTCTCTTAGGGTCTAGAATCTTGCAAGAAAAAACTGTTAAATTATTCAAAAACATTTTTCTCTGTTATTTTTGAAATCGTATTCACAGGTATGAAGAAGTCAAATTATTCCAACCTTTTATCAGTCCTAGTTGATGATGTAGAACATTCATTATTAATTTATTAACCATAAACATCTATAATCATTTATAAAAACAGTGATAGAATACGAAGGTAATCACAGGAATTTAAAGTTGTTCACAAATAAAAAAAAAAAAAAGTTCTACATTTTCTGTTTGTCCCCCATAAACATTGCACAATCATTTCCTTGTATTCACTCCAACTAAATCATGTCCGGTGTATTCATTGCGCCAATGAATGACTAGCAAAATTCTTGTTAAACACTATATTTAATAGTTTTTTTATGGTTTACCTTATCAACCCACGGATCAATTTCTTAATGAAAATTTGTTAATTTTTACCAAATAGATCACTGCATTATCGCATCATTTGCATCTGCGCTGAGCTCGGACATTAGTTGGACAAATGGCGCTAGTGACAAAAGTGTTTACGGAGATGTTGCGCGAATAAGCGTTTGAAATTCGTTGTTTATTAAAAGTCCTGTATTAGCTACTTAACTATGGTGAAGCACTGTTTTTTCGGGACGTGTAAATCCGATAGTAGCTACGCAGATACGCTGATGGGAGGAAAATTTATTCCATTTCCCAAGCCGAAATCTGATTTACAGAAATGTCTGCGATGGATTTTCATGTGGCGAAGACCTCACGATCAGATAAACATAGATAAAATTACGAAGCATACATATATACGATCAAAGGTAAATATCACAGAAATGTACATGTTTAATATAAATTGATGGCTATATATAATTAATTAAAATGTGTACAATAACGTGCACATTGTATAAATACAATATTGTTGTCACTTTGCAGTGCAGCACTGCGAATAGTGATCGATCATTAAGTAGTGCACGTTGTATGTAAGTTAAACCACTCATTATGCTAAGATTTTAGTCTCGCATTTTTTTTTTTCATTACATGTTTGGAATTGGTGAATCAATAAATAAAATATCATAATTAACTTATTGAAATTTTACACCTATATTCTCATCAATATTCTTAGAGAGGGTAGAGAGAGTGAGAGAATGGTGCTTTTATGGAAAATTGAAAATTTCTGTTGTCTCCTGTCAGATTGCAACTTTTTTCAAGATAACTTTTAAGATCATTTTAGTTGTTCAATTTCAGCATTTTATTTCATTTCATTATTTCATTAGATGGTCCATCTGATGACTTTCCAAGTACATTTGATACACAAACTGGTAAACTAAGAGGATCGAGACGAAAAATAGTATAAATGTCATATCAGTCCGATGAGTTGACAGACTTTCCTACCAGGATTGAATCTGCATAGGCTATTGATTCCAAACTTAATAAATTCACAGAAATCTGTTTTAACTAATTTGTGATTTTTATTAACTCCCAGAAATAAAAAAAAAATATATTTAAAATAAGAGTGCATGATACTTTTTAAGGCAATAAAATGGATTTAGGATCAGTTTTTTTCAGACCTGACAGTTTAGCAACTCCTTCCCCCCAGAGATTCTTAGATCATGATGTTGACTGTCAAGCAGAGTAAGAATGTAACAGTGCCTGTTACATGTAAAAGTTTGTCTTTTTTCAGGCTTGATTCTATAGTGAAAACAGGGAAATTTGTGATCAAAATAATGAAATGATTCAAATAATTAATGGACTCTCACATCAGAATGTATTTTTAAAAGATAAATTATCAAGCAGATGCAATATCTAATTTTCTCAAAGCAAGCTCAATGAAGAAGTTAACAAGTTTGTCAAACAAGTCTTTCATGAAACTAATATATTTTTGGTATTTTTTCATCAAATAAATCTTTCTTAGTATAGACTACAATATACAGAAAGAGGTACCTGACATCATTTATTGACTCTGGATTTAGAAAATATAATCATAATTTTGTTTTAACTGGTAAGGGAACATAAGTGCCTCTAGGCAAAATGTTGCAATTGTGCAGCTTCTGAAATAAGAAAGTTTCTTGCAGAAAATAGATTTTTTATCTCTAAAACTCCGGTTTGTCCATCCGAACAAATTTTACCATCAGATGAAACAACGAGGACTGAAAATGAAGAATTTATTACTGATCCACAGTCATGAATGTGGATATTTCGATACTTGCACTAAGAACAGAGACTAACCGAACATTTCATACGTTTCCTGTCTATTTTGAGTGAAACTAAAAAAATACATACTTAAATATAAAATTTTCATTTCAACATTTTGATATTTTTGGAAGAAAAAAACCCCTGTTTATATAAAAAATATTAAATATGTATTTTAAAAATCATGATCGAGTGCATGTAAACTACAAAGCAATCATATCAATATTTTAAAATTCAGTAAGAAGAGAAATGATTATAAGGTTAGTGAGAATTAGAAAAAAAAGAGTCCATTTATCGTGTAGACGTTTCCCATTGGGATTTTTTTTATTTCTATGGCCAGGAACGATTACGAAAACGTTCAGCTACGAATAAAAATGATAAGAGGAAATTCGAATTATGATTATGAGATTTCTCCCATTGCATGGTGTACAATTTAAAGATAAATCTTTATCCACTATATACCGAAGACAACATTTAGAACTACGCATTACATACTATGCACTACACTTTGGTGATTTTTTTAACAATTGTATCCACAGATAAGCCAAGTTATAAAAAAATCTTTCATGATTTTCAAACCTAGTTTATTCTGTCATTGTTCAATGGTCATTTCTCATTCATTCCACTTTATTTTCTTATAATTTTAATTTGATCGGGATATCAATTGTTTCCTATAAGTTTCTGTGTACCCAACCGACAAATCAAGAAGGTCATATAAAGAGCTTGACTTGTTTTCAGGTAAGAAATATCCAGTCTCAGAAAATCAGATGGCACGAAAACTTGACCTAATTAGATTTTAGGGGAGATAACGTAAAATTGGAGCTTTACGGTATGGCCATTAACATACATGTACCTTCATGTTTCATAAGAATCACCATGGTCAGAACACAGGCTGACACCAAAAGTAAAAGCAATATAAGAAGACCGTAAAGCAATCTCTTTGTTTTGGTTCTTCATTGTCAGGAATTATGAGTTTCTCAGGCCTATTTTGTACTTGACAAAAGCACATAATAATTATGTATCTATAATTAATGTAAATGCAAAGCAATCATTGACAATGGAATTTTCATCTATTATAATACCAAAATCACAGCAAATTTAAAGAAACCACAACCTGAATCTAATTGAAAGGCATTACTTTGATTTTATTTTTTTTTTTTTTCGTATGGGAAAATCTTCGAATTGAAATGTGGTACAACTCTGATATCTGGTAAAAGAGTTATTTTAAATAGTATTTTAGTGTTTAAGAAATTGAGTTTTTTTTAATTGTTAATAATTTTCAGGTATTTTTTTTGTAGTACTTCATTTAAGAAGGTACATTTGAATTTCGAAAAATAGTAATACTAAGAAGGATAATATATTATCGACTTTTTGAATTAAAACTATTAATAATTCAGATAATTAAGATTAAGTAGTACTCGTTTACATACATGTACTAGTTTCATTTCCTCAATACTTTTTTTTATTTACAACATAAACCTATGACTCCAGGGAAGTTTGAACCAATAACTCTTGAACCTTTTTATATCCTACTATACATGATTTTCCCTCTTTTCATGAAAAAAGCTGTCTATTCTTATCTTTATACAGTGTACAATATACTGTAAACGAGGAAATATTGACGACGTTGTGATTTTGCCTATACTGACGATTTATCTATTTTTCGTTAAAAATTCCACTCATTAAACTTCCTATGAGGCAAAATAGGGTCCTTACAGCCCAGCTGCTATGTACTGCTAGGTACTAGCTTGAAAATACGGATATATATTTAATTTCTGTGGTAAAATTCATACATTTTCGTTTCAAAATTAAGGATTATCTCCCTCATGCATAGATCTGATCTTTCGACGTATTTTGGCTCCGGTCTTAGGCACCTTTTTCAGGTCTTCAAAGTGTTTTTTTTTTTTAATATTTTGGATTTCCAACTTTTTGGTATGGACATCACTGAAGAGACATAATTTGTCGAAATGCGCATCTGTTGCATCAAAATTGGTACCGTATATGATTTACATATATAGCGAGTACAGATCAAAGTATATTTACGTATCGATGTTATAATCAAAATAAATCGTCTTGTTATCCATTAATATCAAATTCAAGGCACATCTAGTAATCAAAAATAAATAAATGAATGGAAGTTTATAAACTCAAAATTTAAACTAGCACAAATATTGTTACAGCTTGGATAACATAATAATCTCGTAATTATCATACATGTACGTTTGACCTACTTCCTTACCTCAGGAGATCATTCGGCCTTAAGAAAAACAACAAAAATTAAGAAGACAAATTATATAAATGAATCATAATTGATCACACATTTGCTAACGGATAATCCCGACAATTGTGTAGGAATTTACGAAAAAGACTCTTTGTTTAAACAATCAAGAACCTTTACTATACATTTGGCATGCAGCGGTTTGAATATGGCGTGTGAAACGTTGCTTTATTCGATAATCTTGTGATGTATATTCAAAATCATGTGATGTATGTTCAAAATCTTGTGATGTATATTCAAAATCCTTTGATGTATGTTCAAAATCTTGTGATGTATATTCAAAATCTTGTGATGTATATTCAAAATCTTGTGATGTATGTGCAATATCTTGTGATGTATATTCAAAATCTTGTGATGTATGTTCTATAATCTTGTGATGTATGTGCAAAATCTT